GCTATTTTATTGCTTCAACTCTTTCTTTACTCTGTTTTTTAAATTTAAAATATATAAATATGAAGATGCAGAGTAATAACAGTTTTGGTTATACCTATCATTTCAATTGATGTTGTTATAATGCTTTTTTAAATTTATTGTTGTGTTTTTGTCAGAGAAAATAATAACTTCGTTAAGTCATGAAAAATTCTGGGAATTAGTCATGAATTTGAAAATCTAAAATGTAGCCGATACCCTGTAAAAATAATAATCATCTAACATTTGAACTAAAAATATTTTCAATATTTATTCTTACTACACTTAGATTTTCATAGATATTTTCCAATTTCCAAACAAAAGTTTCTGTAACGATAAACAAAGTTATTCATGAATAATATTTCTATTTTTTTCTTTGCAGAAGCTATCTGAATATTCTGCTATTGCTTTAAAAGTAGAAACATTAATGAGAGATTTGCTAAAGCTATTCTTTTCACGCTATACCTACAACATATCTGAAGGTGTAAACCCTTTAAAGTAAGTGATTTTGTTATGTGCAGAATATTTTTCTTAAACTTTATTCTGAAATTCACTTGAGTTTATGCCAAATATTTGTTATTGAGATTGTATATTTTTGGGTACAAATTGACAAATATATTTATTTTCTTAACTTTATTTACATAACGAAATTCTAGAACTTGAATATAGCTGTGACAAAATTGCAAATGAGTTGAACAAAAATTTTTTAGTGTTTGAAATGTTTTAAACTGATTCTTATGTGTGCCTGATATAACTTTATTATTTATTTTCATTTTTATTTAGGATTCATATAGATGTTGAAAATAAAAGACAGAGGTCAAAGTGTATTGTTACCTGTCTTGTCGATCTTAGCTCCTACCCAAATATAAAAATTGTGCCTCAAATCAAGCATCAATATTTTGATGATTTAACGTATGTGCATTTCATTATGCTATCAATCAGTATCTTATTTTAAATTCTCAGATTTCACCATTGACGAATGTTGTATTTGCAAACCTCATTATTATTCAGGTATAATCCACTTACAAAATTAAGCAGTTCTAATAATTTCTGTTGAAATAAGTTTGTTGTTATATAATTTTTCACTTATTAACACTTATATAATGTTACACTCATATTATTTTTATCAGTTCTCTAAAATATTTTAAAATTGGTGTAAGTTTTAAACAACTGCAAAACTTACTTTCATGAAAATTATTAAGACTGCTCGAATTTGTTTTAAATGAGCTATATGCTTTTAAGGTCTGCTAATACAGCATTCCTGAATAGTGGAGTTGCTTTAAACTATTACTATATAAACAATTTTTTTTTTTATCTCCTGATCTTTAATTATTTTTACTATCTAAGGTATGTTTTTCGTTCAAATTTAAAAAGGGGAAACCTAACATTTTTTATGAAGGTAGGTTGAATAATCTTATCTTTTTCATTTAATTTTTTCTAGTTTTTCTTTCAAACTATTTTTTCTCCATTTTGTTTTCAATGAAGAGGTAAAAATAATGTACTGCCATGCTGGAGGACTTTTACTTCCACGGTTAACTGTGTCTGACGTCGACATTCAGATTTTACTTACCCCATTTTAACTTATGTCCAATGTGAATACCAATTCCCTACTTATTAAGTAAATAATTAATATTTTGGATTTTGTTTCATTTTATTCATCAAAATATACTTGTTTCCTAATTTTCAGATTTTAATTGTTCATTAAATTTTGCAAAGTTTACTCTAGGATATTTAAAATAAATTTTTTTTAAAAATAATTGAATTAGTAAAAATAGGATTTTGATAATAAAACACCATGAAATACAAAAAGCATCATGAAAATAAAAATCAAAAATTTAACTTTAATTACTTTTGGTAAGCGATCTTAACTAAACTACCCACAATAATTTTTTTTAAAGAAAAATTCCATTCATTATTTAACTCACTCATCAGGAACTGACATTGAACTTTCCGTCTAGGCCACATCAGTCATTGGTGACTTAAAATTTAAAACTTCTTTTTTATTTTATGCCGATTATATTTTTATTGATTTTAATTTGTTAGTAGTGCACTTCACATTGCTATACAACAATACAAGCTATTCTAAACAAAGGCTTGAAGAGGATTTCCTTAGAAATACATATAGTGCTCAACCTGTTTGTAGCCACATTATGCGTATCATTAAAATACTTCAAAAGCAATTTAATTAATTGGCAAATTAATACTGTGCATATACATCATTTTGCAGAAAAAGTTTATTTTAAATATTTTTTTTTTTTCAATTTAAAATTGAGACAAATTTTTAGTGTCTATTTATTGTATGTAATTTTTATTTTTTAGTGATGAAATTCAAAGAGCAGTTGCTTTGGTTGAACCTGGAAAAAATTATATCTGGAATATAACACTAGCAGCCCATAGNTTTTTTTTTTTCGACCCACGATCGACCCTTCCGATTTGGATCGACCCCCATTCGCCCCCCTGTCTCAGATCGACCCCCGCTTTTGTTAAATAGACCCCTGGGGGTCTATATAGACCACTTTGGCGACCTCTGGTTTAACCCAACTAAAAAATATATATATATTTGGAAATAATCTTAAAAAGAAGATAAAATGATGAAGTAATACACTAATTATTATTTCCAAAATGATGGTAAGGTAAACATCTTTCAAAATAGAAAGAAAAACTCTAAAATCTTATGAGGGAAAAAAAAATTTTTTTTTTTAATAGCGGGTAAATTTATCGAATTTCGTTCCGGTTTTTTGGTTTTCCGGATGATGGGTTCTGTACTATTTCTATTGATGATATATTCTATTGTTCCCAAGGAAGAATTGAGCGACAGGGCGACATTGTCGCAGAACGTTACAGAGTTCTTGCAGAAAGATTTTTCTTTTGAAAAGTAAAAAGAAATTGCTTTTCTTTTGTACAGAATTTAACACTTAAAATTTGAATCATGCATTTCACTTTTTGACATGCTCAATTTGCATCGATAGTATTGTAAATCGATGTAATGTTTCAATTGTATTTTCGTCAGTTATTGATACTGATTTTCACTTGGTTTTTAAATATCCGATATATTTCAAACAATATGGAAAATTCGAATCGTACATTTAAGTATTTACTTTTTAAGGCAGTTATTCTATTGAATTTTTGGCAGCTATTGCTATTGATTTCTCTGCAGTTTTTAAATCCGATGTTTTTTCATGCGAACTTATTTATTGCAGCAACCTAATCTCTTAACGAATTTGAGGAGTCTGATTCGTGGGATTTCGTCTTTTTTTCCCCGGCAATTTCTACTACGGATTTTATGATTTTTCATTATTTTTTACTGTGATGATTATTGATTATTTACAAAATGCAAAAAAGGAAATAATTAGTGTCCCCCCCTACAAAATGCAAGAATATCTCCCATTATATTAGAATAAAAAAATATTANTTTTTAAAATTTTTTTTTTTTTTTTTTTTTTTTTTTTTTTTTTTGTAAACACAGCACTTTTGTTATTTTAAATTAGTTACATATATTTTTTTATGATAAAGAGTATCTTGCAGAAAGATATTATTGCTAGACGGTTTTGTCTCAGATAGCTTGAAAAAATTCTGCCTCAGGTTTGATGTTAATTGTAAAAATGTAGATTTCTGAAATATGGATGGATCTTTATGGAAGGAGGAAAAAATCTTGGTCTTCAAGGATACATCTTTCACTCTTTTTTTTTTTTTTTTTTTTTTTTTTTTTTTTTTGTTCTTGCTTGAATAGTGTGCGTATATAAGCACACTTGTAATACATATTTTTATTTTGTAACTTTAAAGAGATGCAAATGCTGCTGCACTAAAAACAGGGTATCTGTGCACCTGGAAAGTCATGAATTTCGGTATTGAACAAATTTTGTCATGAAATGTCATGATTTTAACTATTTAAAAAAAAAAAAAAAAAAAAATTATGAAAAGTCATGAATTTAGGTTGCCGAAAAATCTAATTTTTAAAATGGAATTACTCCCCCTCCCCAATTTCATGGGGTTCCAAATATCTGAATTTATAACAAAATCCCCACTCGCAGTCATATTTTATTAAAATATAAAATGTTTTTTCATGTACTTTAAAAATTATGGTGTTCTTTCAAAAAATGAAAGAGAAAACATAAATTCTGAGCTTTTAAACTTCTGTAATTTCAGAATTTTTGTTATTATTATTTTTTTATCAATTTCAAATTCTAGTTGAAGCAAACCAGTAAGGTGTAGTAAATGGTGACTGATGCAGGTTAAATCTGTCGAGTCTCAAAGTCCTCCATGTTCTCATAACAAATCAATACCTCGTTCTCTGATTCAGGTCAAAATTACGATCTGTGGATGAATGAATGGGTCCACCCTATAAACGGGTGTGGCAGAAGTCGAATTGTTGGCCACAGATGGCGCCATTGGAAAGCAAGAACAATCGCACCCCCTCTGCCTTAATGGCCTACGTCAACAACAACAAACCAGTCATTTGGCGAGTTTTTTTTACTCCGAAATGAGAAAAAGATCAGGAGTATTTCTTTCCTTTATGATGAGTATTTATAGAATATAATTCAACAGAAAAAAAGGAGAAGAAATTATTTGCTTTTGTATTTTTTTTCAGCTATTTTATTGCTTCAACTCTTTCTTTACTCTGTTTTTTAAATTTAAAATATATAAATATGAAGATGCAGAGTATAACAGTTTCGGTTATACCTATCATTTCAATTGAAGTTGTTATAATGCTTTTTTAAATTTATTTTTGTGTTTTTGTCAGAGAAAATAATAACTTCGTTAAGTCATGAAAAATTCTATGAATTAGTCATGAATTTGAAAATCTAAAATGTAGCAGATACCCTGTAAAAATAATAATAATTTAACATTTGAACTGAATATATTTTCAATATTTAATCTTACTACGCTTAGATTTTCATAGATCTTTCCAATTTCTAATCAAAAGTTTCTGTAATGATAAACAAAGTTATTCATGAATAATATTTCTATTTTTTTTTTCTTTGCAGAAGCTATCTGAATATTCTGCTATTGCTTTAAAAGTAGAAACATTAATGAGAGATTTGCTGAAGCTATTCTTCTCACGCTATACCTACAACATATCTGAAGGTGTAAACCCTTTAAAGTAAGTCATTTGTCATGTGCAGAATATTTTTCTTGAACTTTATTCTGAAATTCACTTGAGTTTATGCCAAATATTTGTTATTGAGATTGTATATTTTTGTACAAATAGAGACAAATATATTTATTTTCTTAACTTTATTTACGCAACAAAATTCAAGAACTTGAATATAGCTGTGACAAAATTGCAAATGAGTTGAACAAAATTTTTTTAGTGTTTGAAATGTTTTAAACTGATTCTTATGTGTGCCTGATATAACTTTATTATTTATTTTCATTTTTATTTAGGATTCATATAGATGTTGAAAATAAAAGACAGAGGTCAAAGTGTATTGTTACCTGTCTTGTCGATCTTAGCTCCTACCCAAATATAAAAATTGTGCCTCAAATCAAGCATCAATATTTTGATGATTTAACGTATGTGCATTTCATTATGCTATCAATCAGTATCTTATTTTAAATTCTCAGATTTCACCATTGACGAATGTTGTATTTGCAAACCTCATTATTATTCAGGTATAATCCACTTACAAAATTAAGCAGTTCTAATAATTTCTGTTGAAATAAGTTTGTTGTTATATAATTTTTCACTTATTAACACTTATATAATGTTACACTCATATTATTTTTATCAGTTCTCTAAAATATTTTAAAATTGGTGTAAGTTTTAAACAACTGCAAAACTTACTTTCATGAAAATTATTAAGACTGCTCGAATTTGTTTTAAATGAGCTATATGCTTTTAAGGTCTGCTAATACAGCATTCCTGAATAGTGGAGTTGCTTTAAACTATTACTATATAAACAATTTTTTTTTTTTAATCTTCTGATCTTTTATTATTTTTGAAATTATTTTTACTATCTAAGGTATGTTTTTGGTTCAAATTTAAAAAGGGGAAAATTATTCCTAACATTTTATGAAGGTAGATTGAATAATCTTATCTTTTTCATTTAATTTTTGCTAGTTTTTTCTTTCGAACTATTTTTTCTCCATTTTGTTTTTAATAAAGAGGTAAAAATAATGTGCTGCCATGCTGGAGGGCTTTTACATCCACTCTTAACTGTGTCTGACGTCGACATTCAGATTTTACTTACCCCATTTTAACTTATGTCCAATGTGAATACCAATTCCCTACTGGTTAGGTAATTCAACTTGCACCCATGTTGGTGACTTAAAATTTAAAACTTCCTTATTTTATTTGTTGCCGATTAAAGTTTTATTGATTTTAATTTGTTAGTAGTGCACTTCACATTGCTATACAACAATACAAGCTCTTCTAAACAAAGGCTTGACGAGGATTTCCTTACAAATACATATAGTGCTCAACCTGTTTGTAGCCACATTATGCGTATCATTAAAATACTTCAAAAGCAATTTAATTAATTGGCAAATTAATACTGTGCATGTACATCATTTTGCAGAAAAAGTTTATTTAAAAAAAAAAATTTCCAATTTAAAATTGAGACAAATTTTGAGTGTTTATCTATTTATTGTATGTAATTTTTATTTTTTAGTGATGAAATTCAAAGAGCAGTTGCTTTGGTTGAACCTGGAAAAAATTATATCTGGAATATAACACTAGCAGCCCATAGTGTGTAGTTATGCATTTACGAAGATTGAAATTTTATTTGTTTATCTCCCTTTTTTTACAAACTTGTATTTATATTTTTACCAAATTTTATGTATTTTAAAATTGTATTAAAAATCATTTAAAATTTAAGTTTACATTTCTTAATATAACCCATTATCATTCCCTATCTTACAAAGAAACTTGTGTCTTTAAGTTCCCCTTTTTTATTCAGTAATTAATATTTTTGCTTCATTTTATTCAGTGAAATTATTCTACTAAACTTTGTTACAGCATTGTAATGTTTAAGTTTGTATTTTTAAAAATTCTTACAAACTTAATGAAATAAAATTTATTCAAAAAGTTGAAAAAACTGTTCCTAAGGCCCCTGTTCAATTCTCCTCTCTAACCTGATAATTGCTTCTTGGCATAAAATAGGTTTTTCTACCAAGGTTTAAATTATTCCCTTAAAAGAGTTTGCTTGTGCCCCTACTTCTCATGTCCAAACATTTCTCTGATGAATCTATTAGTGAACATAAACAATTTTGTTTAGCAATAATTTTTTTCTTCCCACGCACTTTCAATCCCATTTTCCAAGCAACAGTATTGAAACATATTTTGGCTGACTGGTTTGCTCTAATTGGCAGATGTTAAGAGGTGATGCCAATAAGTAGGGTCCCGACAAAGATATCTGCGACCACACCAGCCTAAACATTCAATGAAATGTTGGTCAGCATGTCTTATACCATGGGGATTCTTATCAGGCATTGGTGTGGTTGAACACACCATCTCACGTAAAGTGTGCCTCATTCATAAATAAAACGTAGGATGAGAAATGCATGTCTTGGTGACATTGGTAGAGTTACCACTGTGCAAAGGGCGCAGGATGATTTGTGGGGAGCAGTAACACTACTCTTTGAAGATGATATGAGTGTAAGGCTTAACATCACAAAATAGGATCTTCCTACAGCAGCAGGTATGGCCCGTATGCTGGAAGTCTAATCCCTTTAAACAGTGAGTTAAGGGCCCTCACCATGCAGGGTTCCCACACTCCTTAAAAACTGCTTAATTTTTATTTTGGAGAATAAGGGCCCTTAATAGTACTTAAATATGGTATAAGGTTTTTATAAGTCCTTAATTTTTCAGCATTACTATAATACCCTGTAACAAAATTGCAGTGACAAGGCGACATTGGTCCAGAACTTTACAAGCTCAATTTACGCTAATAGTATCATAAAACTGTGTGGTGTTTGATTGTATTCCGGTTTTAAAATATATTTCGATATATTTTAGACACAATGTATATTTTAGACCGATCAATGTATATTTTGACATAATGATTCAATTATTTTTCTATCAATTTTTTGGCAGTGATTGCTATCGATTTCCACAAAGTTTAAAATCCGATGTTTTAAATGCGATCTTATTTATTGTAACAACCAAAACACTTATTTGAACTTCTCTTTTTTTAAGAGTTCTATTTGCGTGATTTCGTCGTCGATCTTTATTTCGGGTTTTACTGCCACAGGTTTTAAGATTTTTAATTTATGTACGAATTTTAATTAATAATCGTTTCATTCATTTGCGAATTTTAATTATGTAATGGATTTTCAAAATTCGAAAGAGGAAATAAATAACGTGTGTTATAATAATTAGTCCTACAAAATGAGAGAATATCGCCTATAATATTAGAATTTAAAAAATACTCCATTTATAATTAAAACTTTTAAACATTTTTACTCTATACTTTCTTCTGTAAACACAATTTTTCTGTTACTTTAAATTAGTAATTGTTATAATTAAAAGTATCTTGCAGAAAAATACTAATTGTGGGGAAGTTTGTCACAGAAAGCCTGAGAAAATTCTACCACAGGGTCACTATAGTTGATAGAAACAATTTTTCAAGTCGATTTTTTATAACAAAAAGTTGTTCTTTTATTAACTAGGATTAGTCCGTGCATCAAGAGTTGGGTATTTTAGAGAGACAATAAAGGATATGTGTGAGGGGGCTACAGGCAAAGGCCATAGAAATGTGTTGATACCTTTAAAAAATCGTTTTAGACCCTTTTATTTATGTTTCACTGAGAACTAATAAACATATTGGTTTGAAAATTATAAATCTTGTCAAATAATTGTAAATCTTATTCTATAAAAATTTTCATACAAATCTTAAATGCAATGACCTAAAAAGTTTTCTGTTAAGCTTAATGAAAAAAAATCCTAATTTTACAATTCAATTTCAATTAAGTCATTAAAAATGAAAAATATATTCGTTTTATGGATGGCTTTAACCCTTAACAATCTGAAAAATATTTTTTTTAAAAATTCTACCCTGGTTTGCCAAAAATTGCCTGGTCCAGCTTTGATGAGCCTTGTTAATTAATACAATTATATCAGTACTTACATTAAAAAAAATTTTTATTTTCTTTTTTAAAACAGGTAAATAATTGGCACTGTAACTTGTGGTGCATATATATTCTATGATAAACAATCAATACTATTTTTAAAAATAGTCTTAAGGTCCTTAAGTTTCCAAAAAAAGTGCTTAATTTTTATTTAAAAAAGTCCTTAGCTTTTGCTTTGTTAAATAAGTGGGAACCCTGCCATGCCTATTGCCTCGTAATGATCCATATTCTTACAAATTATGATTAAACATTTAGCGATCTGGTGTACCTTTCTGCTGTTCGTGCATTTCCCTCTGTCAATCAGATCATTTGCCAGATCCGCATTCGTAAAACTCTGAATACTCTGCGGGTGATGACTGCAGCGCAATGCAGGTCTATTTTGTCCAATGCTCTTGTGAACAACACCAGCAAGATAGGAACAAAGACACTTCCGACCATGAGTCGTTATGCAAATCTGAATCCTTGTTATGCCTCCCAACTCCCTTTAAAATTAGTCCCAATAACTCTGGGACAACCTGTATATGTTAAAAGTTAGAATTTAATTTTGCCTACATAAATCTGCTATTTTTTCCAGTTGCTAGAAAAATTATAAAGCCCAGGGGACAACATTTCTTATTTATCACATCCTCCCAACGAATTTCGGCCTACTTTAAGTGATGGAGGGCTCAAACAGAATCACAATTATTATGTGTTCATCAAGTGGAAAAAGAAAGAATAAATGTGATAAATTAAAAAAACACTAGTCATTATGTACTTTGTTGCTAATGTTTTTGTTTATTTTTTATTAAGACATTTTAAAAAGTACAAAGGAGCACAAAGCGTGATTTTACTCAGATTTTTTTTCATTCAAACATACTCACAATGTCTTGAACATAAAATAATATTTTATTTTTATTTAAATTAATAATTTGAAGATATGATTTTCATTGCAAAATTACACAGTCAAACACATACAATTGAAAAGAGGCTGACCTACATCTAGAAAGAACACAGTTTAAAACAAGTACTGTGAAGTTTTTGTTAAAAAAGTTCTTTTTTTTTTCCATTCTGTCGTTTCAAAAAATGTTGTTACTCGGTCGATGACTAAGAACCACACTTCAGCATGCAGTCGGAAGACACGTTGGGACGGCAAGTGCACCCAAAAAGGCACAAGTGGCTCTTGCAAAAACGACACAGAAAAACTTTTTCAAACTAAGTAGATGATTTTTTTTAACCAAATCCACTGGGATGGGATAAAACATATGATGAGCTGGTTATTCACACAGTTCTTGATCCAAGGGCACCTTGATCAAGGTTTTGTTTTGATACTGGTTCTGAGACAACCAACTTCACAATATCTGATGCTAATAAAGTCGCGCAGCTATCTACAATTATTTGATTGGAAATAATATTGATTTCCTATATAATTTAAATGGCTTTGTTTTTACAAACAAATCAAAATATATTAAATCATTTTTAATTTTTGAATATACACAAGACAGTCAATTTTTTTGACCTATCCAATTCAAATAAGAATAGGAAATTGTAAGCGTTGGTTTGCCGTCAATTGGTTAAAAAAGCTATGCATGAACCAGCTCAGGTGGGAACAAAATTACAGAGTTCTAGAGATCACTTTCACCATATAGTGCTGTAGAGAAGGACATGTAGTCCAGTGCCCCAGGTACTGTTCCAGGTCCCTTGAACGGTCCCATACGTTGGATACAATATTCAGCTTGATCAGGTGGCAGCTCTCGGCGAAGCTCCTCAGCAGTAATATATGGCTGCAACAAAATTTAATTTTACTCCACAAAGCATGTTATACATAAATGGTAAAACACCAGGGTTGTGGGTTTGAACTGTTGAAATTTATTCAACTACAATCAATAGAAATTAGTTCCTGTAGTTTAAAAGAAGAAATACACATCTTTGATCACGTGAAAATTATTTAGACAAAGATTTAAATTATTACAAATTTAACTAATCACATTTAAACAGTGAGTCGAGTCAATGTTTCACTAAATTATTAAATAAGAATTGAAATTGTGAAAAAAATCCACATTTACAAATCAATTATTGATGTTTTAAATTGACCAAATTTAGTTAAGTTTTTAAGTTAATTTTAAAAAATGTGAATAAATTTAATGCATTGTTAAGTGAATATTTGATAGTTATAAAGTATTCATTAAATTATTATAAATGATATGAAGTTTCATATTAGAATGTAATTAGACAACTTTTTTTTCTTAAATTTTTTATTCATAGGTGAGAGTGCACTGCAAGTGAGATATTAATATCCAATTCTTTTTTTTTATAATGGTTTTTACAAAATATCAATATTTTTAATAAATGAGGTTTTATAAATGTATTTTTTCAACTCTTATGTTATTTCAAGTATAACTAAACATAAAAAATGGAAATATTTGATTTGAAATTAACATTTATTAAATATTAACACTTTCCTGGGATTCAGTGGAAATTTCAATTGAGTCTTTTCAGTTTTATCCTATTAAAACAAATTGAAAGATAAGGCTTCCTACATTTTAAGTAAACATCATAGAGACCTGTACACTATCATTTCGGCTTGTGCCGATTTCAATGTGAGAAGGTAGAAACCCCACTGAGTTTGTGGCAAAAAAAGTAAGCCATATGATCACATAACATTTATGTGGATTGATTGATTGAATGTAGAGGTTTTATGGCACAAGATCCAAAGGAGGATATGCTGCGCCAAACAATTTGTTGAGTCAGATCTACTGGTAAATTACACACAATTATTTCATTGTCATAAAATAAATGAGACTAATAAAATTGTTTATCTCAAGACACATATTTTTAAAAGTTCATCAAAATTGATAAATAGCGTAATTCTATAAAATACACATTAAAAGTAAAACGGTTCATGAATAAGAAATAAAGAGTGAATAAAATCAGATAAAACAGTTATATACAATTTAAAATGCCAATAGCTCGCAGACACATTTATGTGGATAAATTGTGTACAGCCTAACTCAGTGCTAAGTCTAAGCTCTCGAGAAACTTAAAGAGTCTTAGTTTAACAATGAACTCCACAGCTCTGGTAAAAACAGTTGACATGACCCCCCCCCCCCCACNCCCCCCCCCCCCAAAAAAAAATTAACGTTAGCTGACTTTCACAGTAACATACTGAATCTAATTGTAATATTCAATAATTTAACAGTCTATTGCATTTAAAAGGTCAAAATGTATTAGAATTTATTATACTGTAATACAACTGTTTATTGTGTTATATGGATGCAAATTCTGCAGCCCTAGAAGTGTCAATGAGCAACATCTCTCCTTGCAACAAAAATTTAATAAGAGAAAGCTGTATAACTGTTTTAGAAAATACTTTAAATAAATTAAGAGAAAAAAACACTGAAATATTAGCATTATTTTTTTTAATGTAGCCTTACTAATTAAAGATGTCAAAAGATTTAAATTCCACAGTTCAATTTTTTTTCTTAAACATCCTTTTACCATAATTACTTTTAAAAGCATTATAGTTCAAAGATTTATTACAAAACTAAAAATTTTTATTTTATGTCAAAATAAAACTAACATTTCTCATTCACTATATCTTCAGTTATAGGTTGCAACAATATTTATAATATGTTTTTTTTTTTTTTTTGCCAAACATGATAATTACAATGATTTTGTAATTCCATATAATGAATGAAGAAAAATTAATACTTACTTTGTCACCAGCCAAAATTCTGAATGAATCTATTATTTGTTCAGCTGTGTCTGAATCTGTGCTTTCTCTTGTCATGAAGTCTAAGAAAGCATCAAAATGAACATAACCCGTATTGTTAGGATCTACAACACTCATTATTCTACGGAAATCTGCCTCACCCTAAAAATATAGAATGCAGTGGTTTTATAATCAGTTTATTTTCATAAAATTCATATGTTTTATCAACTTAAAAATAAATATTTAAGTTAAAAAATTAGTTATTTCTTTAAATAAAAAAAAATTCTTCTCAATAATGCACAGGTTTTCAGAACAATTTCATAAAAGTAGTTTATACAGCACTTTAACAAAAATTGTTAACGTTAAAAACATGTAAAAATAATAATTGTGGACAAAAAATAAAAATCTTTAAAGTAAGAAATATATGAAAATTTTGTATAAATGAATATTGATTATAATAAAAATTAATATTCATCAAAATAAAACTGCTGTCACTCCTACATAGTGCAGGTAAGTCACTCTCATCGAAGTTTAATAATAGTCAGTATAAGTTTAACCAGTTAGAGAGTTTAAATAAAAGAAAAGCATCAAAATGATTTGTTAAAGCTTTGACTTTTTATTTTTAGCAAACAAACTTGAGGTGTCGTAATGTTCCTTCACAAAAACCATAACTCTATTCTTTTAACAGACAGATTTCGGAAGACATACTTTAGGTGTTACAACAAATGTTGAAAATGCTCTCTATATAAGCAAGTTTAAAATGTTTTCTTTTTTCTTACACTCCATTACCATTTTTTTCTCTTTTTTTGTGAGTGTGTGCTTTTAGTCAGCTATCACAGAAGCTTCATTTAAATTTATCTGGTTTTTTTTTCATTAAAAATTAAGTGTTTTAAATCTCCTCCACTAATTGTGTCACCGTTGAGTTACTAGGTACTACTTTTCAGAATATTGTGAAACTTCTCAATAAGTTGGGAACAGGACCTTGCAGCAAAGGTAAAACAATATGCAGCCACTATGAACATCAAGTGAACACTTATACCACTATGAACACTTACGAAGCCTCTGAGCATGAGTGTAGAAACCCGAAAAGTAAGTAATGACATTTTAATACTGATAGTTGGTGGTGGGTTATGTTTAATCCAGTGGAATGTGAGATGACGTATGTAACGACAAAGATTGTATGGGATCTGATCAGAATAGTTGACCATCCATTCACATTGGTAATTTGTATTATGTGTTTATATGTAAATAAAATGTTGTACTTTAAATAAATAGCAAACACTAACTAATTGGAACACAACCAGCCTTCACCAATAACTTAGTGAAATATACTCTTCTGCATTATTGACATTCTTGTACAAAGGTACGCAAACATGACTATTCAGCAGTACAATTTAGGAAAAAATTGAAACGTAAAAAAAGAGAAACAAAAAATCTTCAGAATTTAAAAAAATAAAAATTACCTGTCTATCATTTCGAATATTGTAGCCTAAACTGACTAGACAAGATTTGAATTCTTCAGGGGCTAAGCGACCTGTTCTATTTTTATCAAAATGATTGAATGACATTCTAAATTCATTAAGTTGTTCTCCTGTGATGCCCTTAGAGTCACGTGTCAAGATCTAAAAATAAAAGAAACAATATTACAATTTTACTTAGAAAATAATTAAAATTGTTGATAGTTTATTCTTTAATTTTTAGGTAGCTTCTCATTTAATATGCAAGAGCTTGTTATTCTAGTACACATATAGCACTAATTAAAAAGATGAAGTAATTTTTTTTATGAATTTTTAAGTAAGAAAAAAGTGTGAATACCTGGTTTTCAACTTCATTGATATTACGATGGATAGATGTCAGAAGTTGTTCCCAACCAACTCTCAGAGTCTAACAAAAGAAATTAGCATGTAGTTCGATATTCATATAACAAACATATCAATTTTATAAATGATTATTAAAAAAAAGAAAATAATTAAATAAAGATATGTAATGATTAAAAATAATTTCAATTGACAGTGTTTTGAATATTGCTAACAACTTTATTAATAAATTATTGACAAAATTTTAAAAAGTCAAATACAGTCAATGTTTGATATTATTCTGTTCTTCATAGGATACTTTGTTATATTGAACACTGTTTTGTCTGTCAAACAATATGCCATTTTTATAACTGTTGTGAGTTTGTCGAAGTTATTTATAACTGTTAATTTAGTTTGTCTTAGATTCCGTTATAAGTTGTTAGTAAAGGAATTTTAAGTATTAAAATTTTATTTTCTTAAATTTATTAATATTACCTTATTTATTAACATTAAATTATAAAGAACAGTCTAATATCAAACATAAAATATTTATTAATGCTTGATATCAGGCTAATTAATATTCATCAAAAATATTTTTTTATTAAATTATAACAAACCATTTATAAATTTGATGCAATTTTAACTTATGATTTTATCAAATATGAATAGAAATCTTAAAATTTTTATGTAAAAATCAAATTTACATTTGAATTTTTTTTTACATATATTTTTCCACATTTACAAAAGAATATTGCATTATATAGATTGAAATTTAAAATAGTAATTGCTTTGAATAACTTAAAAACATATTTTATTACAGACTAAAGTTAAATGCAGACTGTGATTAAGTACTGAGAGAGAGTTACTCTTATAGTTAACTTTGATATGCCATAAATAGCAAAAACATTTGTTGTCCGTTAAGGTAGAGATTACTTTGAAAAAAAGCTAAATTTGTATATCATTAGAAAATTCAGATAAATAAATTAATAACTTGTAAAAATAATGTTTAATTAAAGTACCTCCATTGTATATTGAGTGTATCTATTTTCAAATATCATTGCTTCTTGTATTTCCTGAAAAAAAAATAGATAAAATATTACAAAAATATAACATATTTCATAGAGACAAAAAGATTGAGTAATTTAGTAAAAATTCCAATCATTTATGTTTTACTATAAATAGCACATTTATAAACACAATTTTAAAGTTAATGATAATCTTAGTCTCTTTTTAGGAATATATAAAATTTTGCAGAGCAGTCGTATTACATTTATTTTGCATATCTTAATTTTTTTTTTAATATATCTTCATATGCTGATACTAAGAACTGAAAATCATTAAAATATTTCATGGTAAAAAGACAATCAAAAAAAATTTCACAGTAACTTTTTTATTAATGTCTATTATTTTTAATATGACATTCTCAAATTATAGAGCAAAATTTAAAAAAAAAATTGCAACATAATAATTTAGACATAAATATGCATTTCACAAGGAAGGTTTTACGATTGATAACATTATTTTTTACTTAAAAGATTTTAAAATCTTAGTGAAATAACCAAAAATATGCATCCTTTAAGAGTTTAAATTATACTATTTTTAATAAAAATACATATTTTATGTTTCCCAGTTAAAATCTTAAAAAGAAATTGATATTTAATAATTGAGTCAATTAAATGATAATTACTTGATGACATTTTTCGAGCTCATCCATATGTGGCCTATACTGTACAACACCAACTTCAAATTGTTTTAATTTGTTTAGTTGATCTTCTAAGCTTCCCTGCATTCCCATTCCAATTGCAGCCACTGAATCCATCTGCCTTTCAATCCAGGGTCCAACAGCATTAGCCTTTTCGGCAAACTTTCGCCTTAGTCTTTCATTAGCTATGGGGCAGTCAAGGAAAACAAACAAACTTGCTCAATGTATTTAAAATATTAAAAAAACATAAATATAATCTTGTAAACTAAACTCAGTGGCATGACAGCCCATAGAATGCCAAGGCTTTGGGCTCTGGGGTGCAGGAGTGGATGTTCCGGTCAGGTGGTCAGCCGAACGCGGAACCCCCAGTGTTTAGTTCCCAAGCATGCTTGGTACTCATTTATCGACCCACTGAGAGGCTGAGTCAACCTTGCCCGGCCCAAGGATCGAACCCAGGACCTGTGGCACGGAAGGGCGAAGCACTACCACTCAGCCACCGGGCATCAAATACAATCTTCAGCTAATGATTTTTTACTTAAAGTTGACAAATGTTAGCAATAAGTATTTTGTAAGTAATTTGGTCTTTTAAAAAATAAGTCAAATTCACTTAATGCAAAAATTTAAAAAAAAACCTACATATAAAAAATATACATTATATATGCTGTTTTTTATTTGAATCATTTAAAAATTGAAGTTATGACGTCTGGTAATATAAAATAATAAAAAAAATTCGAAAAAACAGCATGTAAAGAGAGGAAAATTTTAACAATATGCACCATAAATCAAAAAAAAACAATAGGTTTCTGGCTATCCAGTCTAATAGGGCTTAAAGACAACAAAACATCAGAAAAAAGTCAGATAGGACAGAGTTCCTCTTTCTACCCCATCTTCCAAATAGTTAAAAACAAGTGTCGTACACATATCGAAAAACGTACTATTTATTAAGCTTTATAAATATGAAAATTTTTAGTTTTTAATAGTTTGGAGCACAGCAGGTTGATAAGAAGAAATTTGGCAGCAAACAACCATTTTAGCAATCCTCGCTGTCCCCTCATAACAAGTTTTATAAACAGCCACTTCATTTTTTACTAGATCTGATAGTTGCAAGCAGAGATAATCAGAGTCTACTGTATATGTTTTCCATTTATAAAAGAGTTAGAATTGGTTTTTTAGAACATTATAAAAAGAGTATTCAAATTTTAAAAGTGCGTTATGATACATTGATATGAAAATTTTAGAAAAAATAAATACACATTGAAAACAAAATTAAGGATACACTGTTGTCGCATAAGCTCAGTTTGAAGAACTTGATCTCTTTTCGGTACCATTTGTTTTACATCATTCCACTTTGATGTTATGTTCTACAAAACGATAAAAATAGTACATTGATTGCGAATAAGATTTCCATAATTGGTTATAAATATTATATTACATCAATCATTGCAGTAAGTAGACAGGTGATTGAATAAGTAACACTTACAATAGCTGTTAATGTTGTATATGGGTTTTCAATTCCACCAGGTATTTGGCATTGAGTTGCAATTGTTTGTACTTCTTGAGATAAAGCTATAATAGACTTGTGTTCCTTATCAGCTTCTCCAAGTGTCTGCTTGAATTGTTCGTGGGCATCAATCAGACCCTGAAAAGTAACACAACAATAAGTTCATATCTTGTCTAACTCTAAATTTTTAATTAACTATAAATCAATTTTTTAAAATTTCATTTTGCATATTAATAATCAAAGTTTGTAAATATTATTTTTTTTTTTAAATTCATTTACTTTTATCAATACTTAATGCTTCTAAAATTGTCAATATTATTAAGAATTATTATAAAACAATCATTGAATGAATGAAAGAATAGTAATTTTTATTCAACATCCTCCTCAACAAGTCCTTCTATAATGCGGCTTTGAGGAGAACTCCTCCAGACTAAAAGTCTTTGGCTGTCTGCTACTATATTAACAAGCAAAAACACATTTTTAATTGAAGTGCAATGGAAAAATGAAGGTATCAGTTGGTTTATTCACGCTGACCTATGCCAAGATCAGACCCCTATTCGAAGTGACTTTTTCTAGTAACCATGACACGAGACTGAGGTCTGGAGGAGTTCTCCTGAAAGTCACACTAGACATGCAAAAATAAACATTAAATCATCTATGTACAGTAGAAACACTTATTCATCAATAGCAAAAAAGTTAATTATTTAACATACATTAAATTATAAAATAAATTTAATTTAAAAGTTAAATTATAATTTAAAAGCAAAATTATAATTTAAAAGTTAAACTCCATTATTATCTACATTGTCGTTTACCTTCTTTCTATTCTCAGGATAAAACCTTCATTATCACTGAAGTTGGACTTATCACAACACTAAGAAAACATTTAACGTTTTGAGCGCCATCAGACCAGGTACTTTGCTTAGAAGCACTTGTATTGAGGTTCAGCAGTGCAAAGTGCACTACTAACAGATTGTATTTGTAATAAATAAAAGTTAGACAATTCCTAAACAATTTTTAGAAATTGTCTAACTCAAAACAATTCAAATATTTATAGTTTTGTATCATAGTTTACACTGTTCGATTACAGCCTCAACAGAAAGTTCAGGGTCAGTCACCAATGACTGACTGACATGGCATTCAATGTATTACTATAAAAAATATTTTTGACTTCAATCAGTGATATTTTAAAGAGAATTTAAATTATACAAATTGTTATTTGAATCATGTTAACCTTCAAATTACTCAATAACAACCAAAGTATAAAAATAATAAGAAAAAATTAAATATGCAGTATATAAATTGATACAATTTTCAAAAGAATAATGTTATTCCGAGAATATATATATAAATGATTTAATAATTTTATGTGGTCATTGTGTACTAACATTGGATACTCAGCAAAAATAATTTCATTACTATGAAGCTTAGACTTATTACTATGAAATTTTATTTAAACAGTATGAAAAAAGTTTTTAGAACATGAAATCATTTATGCCTGAATGGAAAGTATATTTGAAACAGAAACTTAAAAATGTTAGCAACACAGGGGGAAAATATAGGCAAAATTCCATTATTTGAAAGTATTTAAAAAAGACACAATGTAAAATTTTATAATATATTTTTTTAAAGTATAATTAAAAACATTTTAATTTAAAAAATGAAATAGTTTTTTTTTTAATTGTAAATCATTAGGCTTATTAATGACTAGAATATGAAAAATAATTTTTTAACAGTACTATAGTACTATAAATGATTTAGAAAATATGAAAATATTTACTTGAATTTCTTCCATAGTATGAACTATAAACATGTCAACCAAGTCTTCTCGTGCTCCATCTAACCAGTTATTGAATGGCTGAAATATAATAAAAATAAAATTATAGTTATGTCGAGAGATAAAATAATATATGGAGAAATAATAAGCTAAACACTCACAGCAGCCCTCTTGGCAAATTCAAGATGTAATGTATCAATTTTTTCAAGCACTCTCTCAGCTTCCTATGAGAAGAGAAAAAAGAATTCACACTAAAAAATGTGTTTGAAAAAAAAAATAATCTACATAATATAGATATTTGATTTTTTATGAATTTTTCATAAGTTTTAAAATGCTTTGCTGAAAAACTCATCTGAAGCACTAAAAAAAAAAAAACTTACAGAAAATTTTTTATTATCAGGAATACTTTTCCCATTGTATTTAATAAGGAATAATTTTAACTATTATTTTTACTGTAAGAGTTTTGAATTTTTTTTCTTCTTACATTTAACTTAAAACAATTTTAATTCTCTATCAATAAACTAAAAGAATTATATGATAGAGTTTCTAGCTTAGAAATCTATAATCTGAAAATGAGGTTTTAAATAATTTTTTTAATTCAGGGGGGATTGTGAGCCCAACTCAAAAATCCTGAAAATTTCTCCAATAAAATCATTAATTTAGTATCGCAAAAAATTAATGTCTTTATAAATTTAAATCATTGATATTTTCAAAACATGAAATTCTAAATAAATTATGAATAATTAAAAATGAATAATTATGCATAAGTTTACTTTTATCTCTAATCACATTTATTATTCCACTGGAAAAAAATATTTACAAATGAAAGAGATGCCAAGTATAAATTCAAGTTCTAATATTTCTAAATTAAACATAAAATTTTCTTTAATACATAAATGTGATCAATAATTTCTTGAAATTTTTGGACCTCTGATTCCCGGAAACTTCCGGATCATGTTTACTGAAAAATCCGGATTTTTTACGGAACACAGTCATCTCTGTTTAATTAATAATAAAAATAAAAGCTAACTAAATTTGCTAATGACACCATGAAACTTGAACAGCATAGATTGGTCAAAATGAACATTATTAATGATTAATTACAAAGACGTAATAGTCCATTTGCATAATACCAAAAGATAAGAATATTTACTTCTCAAAAAGTGATTGGATTCAAATCCTTTGAAAATTAGATGACTTAAAAAGTCAGTCAATCCACTAAAACTAAATTCTTTAAAAGAGATCTTGATCCTTTATCTTTATTTCATGTCATTATTCTAACTCGATTGAAAATGGATATAAAATTTGAAAATGTACGGAATCAAGGATTGACGATGTATGCATTCAGATTCATCTGGTAAATTCCAATCCCACAAAGTTCTAGTTAGGTACTGTATTGATAGCTAAAGATGTCTTAACAAAAGTTAAAATTAAAAGTTAACTAAAAGCTAAAATTATGAACATTGTGGATAGAAATCCAACCATCAAAAAGAAAGATAAGATACAATCTAGAAGTATGGAACTCCCCAAAATTCTTCTTCAATAAAATTAAGAAAGGACATGTTCTTAAACAACCCCTATTGCTTTTGCTGACAAAGCACACTATTTTGTCAAAATTTTCAATTAATATTTTACACAAATGTGGTTGAATTTAATTAATACAGCACTCAATTTCCGCTTTCAAAGCGTGGGCCTGTTGACATAATTGTTAAATTTTAAAAAAAATATAAAACAGTGAAAGAGGTTCGATGGCAAAATCAAAAAGAGAAGCAAATTTTGATTGCCGAAAAAACTATATTATACAGTAAGAGAATAGCTCAACAGTGCTTAAATTATTATTAATTAATAAAAAATAACAACAAAAATGTATGTAACTTTTTAATTTTAATAGCCTGTAACTGTTAACTTTTATTGTGAATATTTTTTGAGGGGACAGGACATATGATCTTTTGACTGACTAGTCAACTTGCCCCTGCTTAGCAGTATTTTATATTGATGAAAAAGAATATCTGACCTCTAAAGCACTTCTTCGTTTCTGTGTGAGTGTTCCTAATCTATCCCACTGGTCACATATCCTTTGGCACCTTGCATTGACTGATGCTGCATCGTGATAGTCTAGAGCACTAAAAGAAAAAATATATTCTCAAATACAAGCATTAAATAGTTTTAAACATGTCAAAAGCACAGTTTGAAATAATGGTAAAAAAAATAAAAGGTGTTTAACAAATACTAACTTTAATTCTTGAGCAATGGCAGCAATTTGTTCCACACGATCTTGATGTGCAGCTAAATCACTTTCAAAAGCTTCATGCTTTTTCTTTAATGCCTACAAAAATAAACAGAAAAATTAATTTCTTGCTAATACTTCAATTAAGCATAAATACTGCAATACATTTACATTTTGTGGCATTTTCAAATTATTTGGAGCCATATGAATTGGAAACCATATGAACCGAGAATGCCTTTTTTAAGATAATAAACGAGAGCCAAATTCTAGAAGAAGACTTATCTTGCAGATAAAACTGTTACAATTTGGGTGGCTAATTTTAAAAGAGGTGAACAACAAAAGTGTCTACAATAGGATATCTGTTGAGGCACAACACTATAAAGCAAAAAGTCACAAAATAGTTCAGGAAGACCCCCAAAACACTAAGAGAATGAAATATCAATCTAAATTGAACTTGTAAAAATAACTTTAATAAATTTTTCTGTGTGCACAATGAGGGCTACATTTAGGAAAGAACTTAAAGAAAAAAACAGTTTAATCAAACCAATAGCGCTGCTCATAAATTTATCATTAACAGCAACAAAAAATTAAAGAGTTGATGTATATATTGCGATCATGGGTGCAAGTTGGAAAAAAGGCAAAGACTGAAAATTTCTTGACTGAAATACCGAACATACACAAAACCCCTTCGACATATGCAAAATTTCTAAGAAAGCTTTACCATAATACATCAAGTTTAAATACTGTACAAAAAATATTTGTTCATTTCTCTTTTAATAAAATAGCAACAGGACATAAGAAAGTAGACCAATAACGTAGACCTAAAAAATATTTTTAAGGACAGAAAAAAAAATTCCGATTTCCGTCTTCGAGTAAGTCTTGTTTCCGTCTTACTTCCGTCCGCGGACATTTTTGAAAGACGGAAATCCGTCCTGGGGACGGAAGACTTGCACCCATGATTGCAATTAGTATCCCATATTAATCAAAATTATCCTTCAACCATTTTCTCATTTTTAGAATCTTAAGAAATGATGAAAAAGGTGTAAATTTTACTGTAAATATTTGTTCTTAGAACATTTAAACATTTCATAAAAGGGGAATTAGAGGATTTAATAGTTTAATAATAGTTTAGATAAGATTAAATTTTTAAAAAAAATACCTTTGCAATTTCAATAACTAAAAAAATTTTATATTAAAACACTTGTAATTAAAGGAAAACAAAATACATTGCCAAGCATAGAAAACAAATACATACTTTAAGCTCGTTCAGTTTGCAGTTTCTAAAGTCTTGACTTTGTAACATTTCTTCCTTGCCCTGAGTCCAATCTTCGTGAATATCAGCTTTGTGCTTAAATTTTTGGGCCAAATGATCCAGGCGCTCTAACCTGTAAAAAAACAAAAATTATTAGTGAGGTAAAATTTCATTTATATTTAATAGTCAAACTATGATAAAAATCATCAACTATACCACCAGAGAGAAATGGAGAAAAATATACATTATTGCACACAATTTGTATAACATTTATCACTATCCTTTTTTTGATAATGCAAGTTGCACAAAAAGAAGTGTTGAGTAGTAGAAATACAGAACTAAATTTATAATGCTAAAATTTTAAAACAAATATTAATTTTTTTAATTTTATCCAACATTAGTATGATATTTTTAAATTCCTTACATAAATATTGCCAGTAAAAAATTCCTAATTATATAGTAATATAGTTATAAAAATTAAAAGGTGAGAGAAATATCAACTTAATTTTATAATAGAATATACAATGTGTAAAACAATACATCAATTTGTAAAGATTTTTTAAAGCAAATATTAACCTCATCATTTCAGATAAGAGCCATTCTTCAAATCCCTTTTCTGCCATTTCCAGCCCTTTCCATGCATTAGCAATATCCTAAACAACATAAATTCAAATAAATCAATACACAGAACAATATATTATCAAAATATTAATTTTTTTCTGGCAGTTATACTCACAGACACCATTTTCCCTTCAGATGGTAAGTAGGCAGGCCTATTACTAAGTCGAAGCTTGGTTTGAAGTGTGTTGAAATTAGTTTCCAGCTTAGCCTTTTGCTCAACACGTGGGGGTTTGTGGATTCTACGGTAATTTCTGAATTCATCCAGTTTTTTATGAACCCCAACAAGAGTGTTATCAGTCGTTCTGTTCTCAAGCCATGGAGTAGTTTTTCTGATCCAATCCAATAACTGTTAAGGAAATAAATATGTTATCATACAAAAGGTAGATAATTATAAATAAATAAAAAAAAAACAGCAAGGCAAATAAATTAAATATTACTTTTCATAAAAAAATTTTTTTTTTTTAAAGTGAAATTCAAATGAAATTTTTACTAAATGTTTTAAAGATGTTATAAATACATTTGAAAAGAAAAACAAAAAATTTTTCGACAGAGTAAAATAACTTTAAAAAAATTATTTTACTTTCTTCAGTTTAATTTATAATTTATGAAATTTAATCTGTACAATACATAATGCTTAAAGAAATAACTAATATTATATCGGGTACAATGACACTTACATCACTAGCCAATTTTTCATACTCTTCCATTAGTCTTTCATTTTCTTGATTAACTTTCAGTACTTTACAGATACGGTTGGCAGCAGTTTCAGCCTAAAAGATATTAGATCGACATTACAGTTAGATATTTTAAACACAAAATAATATCTGGGCAATCATTATGTTAAAAAATATTCTTAAAATAGAACTAAAAGAAAAGAAACTATCGAACTACATTTAAGACCTTGACTTAACAATTATCTCGTTATACCCAATTGGCCGAGTTATTTTTAAATTAAGAGATTAAACTGAAATTTTTTTCTACTCTAATATCTCAAAGAGTTGGAGGAGGAAATAAATAAATGAAAGTACATAACATAAAATTTAAAATAACATTAAAATGATTAACATTTTAAGATGTTATTTGGTATATTATATTTGATATACTTTTTAGAATTTGCATAAAGCACATCAAATGAACTATCCATACTTGTATATCATATATAGTAAACTATATTTCCATACAAAATAGATTTAACTGTTTAAATTTTGCAAAAAATTTAAAAATTTTTAATTTTTAGAAAGACCTTCTACAATAATACAGTGATGTAACTTTTTACAACAAATGTTAATAATAAGTTATTTTATAGCAATTAGCTACATTTAAAAGACAATTTAATTTCTTCAGATAGAAAAACTCATTATTAATAAGGAGTTTTAAAATAAAGACACAGTGAGATACACATCTAATCGTAATCTTAAGCTTAAACAAAATTAGTTTAAGGAAAGTCTAGACTTTCAAGAATTTAGAAAATTATCTCTTGTGATTAAATTGTGATTTTCTTTTAAATTTTTTAAAACATGAACATAAATGAGCAAGTTTTTTAAAAAAATATCAGATCTTTCCTTTGAATTCTTAAATATGTATTTTTTTAAAATTTAGGAAAAAAAGGCACATTTTTAAAAAAAATTATGTGTTTATTATTCATTAAATCATCAATATCAAATAATGTAAGAAAACATATTAGAGCGATCAAATTGCTAAAATACTTCTCCAGAATTAAGATAATTTAGAATAATTTTTTTCTCGTATGTAAATGTGTTTTCATGCTATTTAAGCATTAATGGCTGGCTTAAAATATTTAGAAAGGAAAAAACCTCACAATTACAAAATAATCAAAATTATACAGAATTTGAAGAAAAATCAATAGTTTAAATGTATACTATAACCTTATTTGACCAACATACAGAGAAGAATGCCTTTAATTCTTCAGTTTAATATTTTCAGGGCTCAAAGACACTGCTTAAAAATAGTTCCGTTCGGGATAGAATCTCAAGTGACCAGGGCTTTGTACCAGAGTACTTGCCCACTCCCAATCTTAGACAATCCATACCCAGTTTTAAACATTCTTTTTCTTTCTGAATGCCATTCAGAAGCTTATTTTAAAAGTATTGATTTTCTAGAACTTCTTTCATCATCTGTATAACTGAGGACTAATAATATGAAATGACAGAAGTACCCAAAAGCATAAAATCTTATTTTTGTGAGAAAAAAATAATTAAATGCCAAGCTTAACAAACTTGAGCGCTTGAAATTAGAAGCTTAGTAGTAAGAATTTATAAAAAGAACCAAAGATTCTGTTGATTCAATGAGAAAGAGGAAATGAAGATGAAAACTCTAAAAATGTCAGTATAAAAACATTAAAAATTGAATTTTTTTACATCAAAAAGATATTTATTAAAAAATTAAATTATAAAAATAAAAATATAAAAAAATATTAGAAAATTAAAATAGAAGTTTAGGATCCCTAGAAGAACCCTATAGAAATGTAATAAAAAATCACTAAGTAGTGGGGAACTTTTATTTATTTCATTTTCCTCAACAGTTTCCTCTTTTGTTCTCATATTTAGTTCTCAATTTCCATCGTATAATCAATAAGGCTAGGAAAATTTTCAATACTTTAGTTCCAAATTAAACACAATATCTGCAGATAGATACTATAAAATATGCTGAACAAAGCAAAAGATTCACTCTTGGTGATTTAACATTTCGGAAAAAAAATACACACTAAAGAACATACAGTAAATATATTTAAAAAATGTTTAAATATCATTCAAATGTTACATAAACAGGCATAGAATCCTTTCGGTACTATAATGAAGTACTATCTTCAGTGTTGAAGCAAAGGTAGAAAAAGAGCCAAAAGAGCTAGCAGGGGTCTATTTAGAAGAAATTTGGGTCCGTTAACGGACCCTTCAAAAAATATCTTTTCATAAAAACTGACCCTTCACAAAATATTTTAACTTAAAATGGACCCTTCCAAAATGATTTTTCTTTTAATCGATCCCTTCACAAATTTGTTTATCTTCATTATTGTTCTGTTAATCGAATGAACCCTTCCCAGGGCAGAAAGATGGATGTAACAGTTTTGTCTTCGGCAGACGATTTTTCCATTATTCGTCCGCAATGAATATTCTGAGTTCAGCAGCATAGGCTAAATACCAAATATTTGTATGTTTCATCTCGAATTTAGAAGCAGCTACTGCTGTTTATTTTTGAAAATTTAATTATTTCATTATAATTTTACAGTGCCGAGCATAACCTTGTATCTATTTACAATTTAAAAACTCCTTGAAAAAGTTTTTTGCAATAACCGGACCCTATTTGCACAAATTCATAAAATCGGACCCTGGTTGAAAGAAAGTGAGTAATTTTTTCACAATTTCACTAAAACCGGACCTTTCACAAAATGTCTGGACAGATCCCTGGTTTGGGAATAAAAACAAATTCCTTAATCCTATAAGACAATCCTCTTTTTCCCTATTGCAGTTAATTGTGCTCTGTCTTGTAATGCAAGTAAAAATATTTTTTTTCTACTTTCATTCTTGTAGTACATACAAATAACTATACTTAATTCTGTGATTAATATTACAATTATTATAATTATAATTGGTGGTAAGTAAATTTAATATGAGACCATAAAGGTCTAACTTCATTTATGTGCAATGTTAACCTTGCTTGATATGTAGAACAATGAATTAATGTAATTATCAAATAACCCTTGATGGTTATATTACCTGCTTAGCACCAGAGAATGTGTGGTAATAAGAAGACACATAGGTCATAACAGCACGTTCATCGGGCATGGGAGTATTGTTGATGTCTGTAGAAAATGACAACACATAACAAAGCAAGCAATGAAAAGGGTAAAAAACATCAACTACACTTTACCTGCATTGCACCCTGGAAGGCATGATAGTAACAAGAGACATAAGTCATGACCGCACGCTCATCAGGTTTGGGAGTGTTGACCATGTCTGAGGAAAGCAACATAACCAATAGTCAATTATACGTTTGTTCGAGAGATTTGTTGGTTAGTTGTTCACTCCCATGCAGTTCAAACAAGTAACGAAATCAGAATCTCAATCACACAATATTCTTCTTAACAAATATTGTGATTTTGTTTCGCAGCATAACTCGTGCAACGATGATAAATGTGTATCAATTTGTGGAAAGTAATAGATCATTTAAGTCAGGGATACACAACCTATGTCTGATATTTAAAATGTGGCCCCATAAGACTTTTGATTTGGCCCTTGGGATTGTCTTAAACATTAACAAAAATATTAAAGTGAAAAAAGTATTTTTTAAAACTCTGCTCTGTAACAAAAAGAAAAAGTTACTATAGATCACATTAGAATCATTGCATGTTTTGTTTATGATATAGTTTAGAGTTAGAGTTTGTGATGTTATTTTTTTTTCAAATTTGAACAAATAAATAAGAGAAAAAGAGAGAATTTCCTAATTTTAAAAAAGATAGAAAATGAAATTATATATATTACAAAATTCCTATCATTATCAGCATATTAATTGGATACTGTATTAGTAACTTGAGTTATAAATTTTGTTTCCTAAATATTAGTAAACAGTATAATTGTTGGTGTAAATTAAAATATTAAGTTTTGTGTTTTGTTATGTATTCTTATAAATTGATTGCAATAATATGCTCTGTAATATTTTTACTATACAGTAAACTCACGATTATCAGAGGGTGGATTATCAGTTTTGCGTATCACCTGTGCTTCCCTTTTTCTAGAAATGATAAACAATATTCATGTAATTAGTAATTAGTGTAATCATGTAATTAGTGTATATTAGTAACTTGAGTTATAAATTTTGTTTCCTAAATATTAGTAAACAGTATAATTGTTGATGTAAATTAAAATGTTAATTTTTGTGTTTTGTTATGTATTCTTATAAATTAATTGCAATAATATGCTTTGTAATATTTTTACTATACAGTAAACTCACAATTATCAGCGGGTGGATTATCAGTTTTGCGTATCATCTGCGCTTTCCTTCTTATTGCAATGATAAACAACATAGCGTTTAGAATTGAAAATAAATAAATCCATAGAGGTGGAACCATTTTAGGAGATTTAATAACAACATACTTTACTTCCCTTCTCGTCTTTGAACAGCCGACCCAATTTTTGGGTTTACGACTACTAATGTTCAACTCTGTAGCCTTGTAATTTTGAACCCAATCCAGAAGACAAGGGAACTCTTGGATCAAGTATTGGGAGAAATTTGCCTTTGTGGAGCACTTTTTTGATGGAACTAGTCCGCATTTGTGTTACATGGAGTAGAAAACCATGAGAACCTCCCATGGTTAGCCTGACAACAAGGGGACTCTAACCCATGATCCGTCCACCACTGAGGATATTTCACGTCTACACTGTGGTCGATGCACGCCGGATGCGGAATTCGCATTGACCAGCCATCGCCAGGATCGAGCTCTGGTTCACCTGATTGGAAGGCGAACGCTCTATCCCCTGAGCCATCGTGGCTCAACATACTTTACTAGCAAACAATCTTGCTCATAGCACACAGCATAACAATTAATCAAATACAGGGCTTACATTTAACGATTGAAGCTTCAAGTACAATGCTTCATAAAAAAGGAGCATTGAAAGGTTGAAAATGGAAAGGCATTTATTTAGTCAACATGTAACACATTCTTGGAATTTTCATGAGTTAAAAAATTGATAAGTAACAAATGAGGCCACAGGACACTTATACCCCTAAAACAAAAAGAATGACGCAAGGCTTTGAATAATTTATGGGCCATATGCATGATTTTGAAGTGTTATCAGTTGTTTATTTCTAGTTTTGTTACTGTTAGAGATTTTAAAAATCATGTAAATGCAATAAATCTTTATAAGAACTAATTCATGTGTTTCAAACTATGTTTTTTGCATTCCTTTTTCAAAAATGTTTGATCCTTGTAGTGCCTGTTTTATTTTAGCCTCTTGCCTTTTCAACAATAAGAAACAAAAAAAAATTGACAGGATTTTTCCTACAGAAATTTAAAAAAAATAAATATGAAGAAAATCTGAAGAAAACTGCTAAAAATAAATATTAAAATTTATCATTTATGTTTTATTTTTAAAAAAAGGACATTTCTTTTTTAAGTGTTTTGCGGATTATTTACAAATTCGCTTAAAAGCGCTAAGTGGCCACTCAATTCCATGGATAATCGGAGTTTACTGAAGTTGTTTAGCTTGATTTACATTGAAACTTTTATTTATTCATTTTAAATTATATTGCGTGCACTTTAGTAAAAAATCAGTTATGCTCATGTAAAGCATTCACATTACTTTCACACAATTTAAATACACTCAGCACTTTTAAAAATATAGTTTTTTTAGCTCTGAGCCTCATATTTTTTAATTACTGTTGCCTTACTATTCAAAGATGGTAGTGCACCCCTGACTTAAAGTGTCATTTTTATTTACTATTTAAAAACTTGATATTAATTTCATTTTCAATTTTATAAATGTCTTTGAAATACAAGTTTCAGGTATTTATGGTATTTCATGCATTTATTAGAATAGTCACACCTTGCTTTAGTCTACTTGCTACTCATGCATTATTGTTCAAAATTATAACAAAAATATCATATTCTAATTTTAAAAAAATACACAGCAATCACAAAATATATCTCTTAATAATCATTAAACAAATGCATTATTAAGTTAATTCAAAAGACAAAGGCAATATTTCAAATTATTTTTATAATAACTTCTAAGAAATAATAAAATTAAATATACTAAAGTTTATTAGCAAACAAAAGTCTGTTTTAAATACCAATTAAAAAGTCAAATAATTCTTGAATGCTTATTGTTTCAGTATGCTGTTTGGTTCCACGAAACCACTTTCAAAAAATATACTTTGTCAAAAAATATACCATTTATTCAAATTTTTATATTTCTCTAAACAAAAACTTAAGCTTTTAATAGTAAAACTGTTCTTGCTAAAGCAGGAAAAAAAATTTTAAATAAAAATTGTTGGGTTGAAAAAAGTTGTTTTACTCACAAATTGCTTTTAAATACAATTTGATTTTAACAAAACTGCAAACATGTTTTAGAGTAATTCAAAAGTGCCAATAAATTAGTTTAATTTTTAAAGCAAAAAGAATATTTTAAATTGAGTGACAAACTCAATTATACTCACAACATAACTAACATTTACATATCATTTAGTTTTCCTATATCATACTATTTATTATATCCAATGTTTTTAATTAAAAACTCAATTTATAAACAAATAAAATAAAGTCATAATTTTAAATTTTGAGCAATGAAATATATTTTTAAAATTAAATTTTAATATCTTCATATAATTATGATATTAGTACAGTAAATAGATTATAAAAAAACATATCTCATGAATACACCACTCATTTGCTTTGACTAAGATAAACTTAGAATATTTCACCCTTTAAAAATAATAAAAGGAGGAAAATACATAAAATATTATCTTTCCACAAATAAAATTGTTTAAATAAAAAACGTTTATAATTTTTGATACAAAAATTAAGTTTCTAATACAGCAAATGAATGATGTAGAAATTTCAAAATGCACACTCTTTAAAATAATCATGCAAGTTTGCAGCATTTTGAAACATGCAAGCTAAACATATAAATATAATAAAATAAAACTATAGAAAAATCTAGAATTTACCAAGATCTAGACATTTATTACAAAAAAAGTGACATCAAAGCGACAGGTAGCAAAAAGAAGAAAAATTGCATATAGTGCAAATATTAATATATAATATGAAAAATAAACAAATTTTTGATTTCTCAAAGGAAGAAAATAAATTCCTTTGCAAAGCAGTAAAATTTAAAAAATAATTAAAGCCCTAATGGACCACTAATAAAATCTGACAAAATATAAGAATATGCAAAATATTATTGTCCTATAGTCTAATGTTTCTAATAATAATAATAAAATGCAGAACTTTATAATTATTCAAATAATATAATTTAATTCAAATAATATAATATAATTTGCGTAACAAGTAACAAAAACTAAATATAAATTAAGTATATAATGTATTGATGGAACTCAAATTAGTTATAAATCTCCTACATTAGTCATTTATATAATTATACATATATATTTTTTAATGTTTTCTCTTAATAAATAAGAAATATATTTTCTTGAAATATAAGTTAAAAAATTAATTATCCAGCAACGTTAAAAAATAATCCTCTACTGATTCTTAATTTTGAAATGAGTATTAAATACTGATAACTTTTTTTTTGTAATAACATATTACGTATAAGATTTATTTTTTTAGCATATTACTGTAAATCTAAAAAATCATCATTGAAGATAAAAAAAAATAATAATAATAATAATAACTAAAAATCACATGTAGAGTAACAATGACTTCAAAATGAAAATAAAATTAGATTTCTTACAAAATAAAAAGTTAGGAAAAATAAAAACAATCAAAAATAGCCTATTAAAACTTTATACGAGATTTATGTTTAGCATATCACCATGGATCTAGTAAAATATGATATAACAAAAAATATATATATATAAAACGTAAGTTAAATGGGAAAAATAAAAATAAAATTATTTTAAAAAATATTTGAGATTTCATTTTTTATTCATGTAAAAAGTACATTAAAAGTATCAATTTTACTTAAATTTTCATTTAATGCAATATCTTATACACAAGAATTAAAAATTATCTCAAATGAAATAATCCTCTACTAATCCTCCTAATGAAATAATCCTCTACAATCATCAGATCAAACTTTAAAATGATTATATTATAAGTTACATTTCACTTTATGAAGTTCATAAAATTAATTATCATCAGCATTAAAAACTTCTTGAAAATTCTCAGCGTAATGAACTTTAAAGGTATGTGGAAATAAGATTTAATTCTAAAAAGTGAAAAGCCATGCAAAATTGCAAAATATTTAAAGCAGTCGAGTTCATGCATTAATATATTTAATTCTAAATACCTTCAGGATCTAACATTCTTGGGATATTCAGATATTTTTCAGCTACATCAAATGCCAAATTCAAATTATGAATAGGATTATCCTGTGAACAAATATAATAATCAATACTCATATTTATCAATTTCAGCCAATATTTCAACAATTTTTGTTGGATTTGAATCTCCATTAGGGAAGAGGAAGAGTATGATTTGGTTTTTATTTTGAAATTTAACTGTTCTTTAAATAAGTTCTCATTTCGAAAGAATTAATATAGCATCCAAATTGAACAACCATTAAAGAAAATTTTTCTTACTGATTTATTTACTGACTATTTCGAAAGAATATAGCATCCGAATTGAACAACCGGATTCTTACTGATTTATGTTTTAAAGTTCATGGTTTTGGAAAATTCATTCGAAATTGTTTTACTTGCTATGATATAGCTGTAATTCAAACGTAAGCAAATAAGATCTATAGATTTATTAATTAAGCAGCAATGATTTAAGTTTTAATATTAGATAACTTAAATTTTATCTATTATTAAAACTTAGTAAAATATTTCCCAATAATTGCCCAAGTTAGTAACTATGAATAAGCAACATTTATTAAAAAATAATTATCCTTAAATGGACTTCCAAAAACATATGACACTGTATGATAAGAAAAAATAAATATGAATAAATAACTTTTGACACAAATTTTAATCTTCGAAAATATCATAACAATTTTAATTAAATTTTATCTATTATTAAAACTTAGTAAAATCTTTCCCAATAATTGCCCAAGTTAGTAACTATGAATAAGCAACATTTATTAAAAAATAATTATCCTTAAATGGACTTCCAAAAACATATAACAATGTATGATAAGAAAAAATAAATATGAATATAACTTTTGACACAAATTTTAATCTTCAAAAATATCATAACAAAATTAATAAATGGTTAACTAAACTATTATATTAAAACAAATAAGTTGAATGAAAAAGTTTATAGTTTAAACTTCGAATATCTCTAAAAATATTTTAAACAAAATCAAACGGAAAAAGTTATGCAAAAATGAAATTACATACACTCAAGTAAATAATTTGGAAGTAAATGGAGAATACTTTTAAAGAAATAAATAAAAATAAAAAAGTATGGAGAGTAAAGTATACCTTAGTTAATTTACTATAGTCTAATAAGTCAGGTCTATGCCTATGGATGAGTGCACAGAAAGCAAGACCATCTTTCCAGCTGTAAACGGATAAAAACAATATTATTCAAGCATATTTGTAGGCAAAAAAATTACATTGTTGTTTAATAATAAATCTTTTAATAAAGAATATTTTAATAATCTTATACATAACTCATCAAAAAAAATCTTAAAATATCAATAATACAAACACAAATTTATAAAATCAAAAATTCTGAGAACTAATTTTAAAGGAATAAATTTATAAGCATCTATTATTTAAAAAAAAGTTATTGAACTAACATTTAATTTTTAAATTTACAGAACAAATTTTATTTGATACTTGTCTACTAATATTTAAAATTTTTCTTTTTAATTTACTGTCTAAGAAAAGTACACATCAGACTAAAGGAATTAGACAAAAATTTAACACTGCTTTTTTAAAATGTGTACAACAAAATATTACATTATTGAAGAAAAAAATTTGAATATCTGATAAGTATACAGAATAAAAGTTTCTTAATAAAAATTTATAGATGTATATAAAGTAGTAATATCATCAATGTAATCTATAATAGCTATCATTAAATTATAAGGTTATACATTAATTTCAGTAAAAGTTAGAATGTTTGTTAAATACTAGGAAGGTTCTACAATTGCTTCATAAAATTATATGATTTTTTTTATCATAAAGTAATCTTAAGTTACTCGTTTCTTTTAAATTGTAACAAAGCATTAAAAAAGGATTTTAGTGGAACAGGCTTTATTTTGAATTTTTGTTCAAAAGAAGTTTTGTCAAGAAGAAAGGGTAAAATTACTTACTAACATTCAGCAACTAATTTAGTAAAAACAATCATAATACAAATTTTCTTGGAATTTCACACATTTTAGATGTTAAATTTGTTTTGGCATATTCCATTACCTCCAAACATTAGTGTTTTTTTTTCCTTGAAAAAAGCTTAAAAAAATTTTAAAAAATAAATACATTTTAAAAAAAGTTATTTTCAGTGATTTATTTTTATTTTTTCAGATAATTTTATAATTAATATTAATAAAATATTGTTCAAAATTGCAGTTTGGACATCAATAGGTCAATCATTTTTTTTTAAATTACTAATTAGTTTAAGAAGATTTTATTAAAAATATTAATAAGCCATTTGAAGACTTCATAAAATTAAAAGATTAAAGTCTACACAAAATAAGCAAGGCATCAGGGAAGAAGAGAAAAATTAAATTATATCATAAGTATTATATATTAAGGGATGCATAAACTTATTGTTTAAATTAAGTTACAATATATTCTAATTCATTAACAAAGTTAAAATATAAATAATATCAAACTAATAATAATATGTGACAATAAATGAGGTCACCTCAATGGAATCTCAAATAGAACTCAAATAGAACTTTACCTCAAATGGAAGTTCTGTACATTGACATTTTTGTATGGAGCAGTTTTTCTTTGGCACCACAACAGTAACCCTTCTTTGGCGGTCATCTCTGAAAAGAAATTGAAAAACTTGAAACTGTGCAAGGTTTCATTTTAGACTATAACTTTATATTCCACTCAATTTCAGAATTTATTTTTTAATTTTTATAATTTACTCCACTCTCTTATTATAGAAAACGAAGAAATGTGGCTTAAAATTATTTTATGTAAATAAATTTTTTTTCAGAGAAAAAAGTAAATTTCTTGGTGACAGACATGACATGAACATTAAATCAGGAAAAATTAAAATATATGTGTGTGCCTGTAAGACAGCACTTCTTTAACTTTTTCCTGATTTAATGTTTGTTTGATTATCAATATTAAAATAAAGCAAATTTGGTTTTAGCTGCTTTAGGCGCTTTTCCATTTTGATTTAATGTTTTAATAGTTAATTTACTTCTTTGTCTCTTTTTTGCTTTTTAAATTGGATTCATTTTCTGATTAGACATGACATGACTAATATTAACTATCTAAGGTTATAAAAAATAGCATAGTTTTTATTCACAACTTTACGGCATTTTAAAAAATTCTACAAGTTGTTTATAGAAGAAAAAAAATTCCAAATATTTGCTTGAAATTTTAATAGAATATGAGACCTCTAATTTTTCTTTTTAAAGACATTAACATAACTGATCAAAAAAGTATAACACATTTTTCATCTTAATTTCATGAAATAACTTGTTAAAATTTAAAAAATGGTCTTTGTGTCTACTTTTCCAAGGAACTGACCATTTATAAAGCCGATGTTATCCCCTAACAATGCATTCTGAATATAAAGAGATCCTTCATTCTAAAATTACTAGAAATTCATAACCTTGATTTCAGAACTTTTTGTATTTCAGGTATGAACAATAGCAACTTAACATAATATGCAATTAAAAAGATGTAATCTAATAATAAACTACAATAAAGATGACCATTTATTACTGCATCACTACTATTAGACCAAAGGCTAGACTTTTAGGGCTTTTTTTAGGGCCTTTACGAAAATAAATGACTAACAACTGTATTAAATTTTTGTTTAAATTGAGGAGAGTTTGCTTTTCTTTTTTTTTAAATTTTATTCTTAAAAATGAACATTTCTTTAGCTACAAAATTTATAAATTTGAGTAAGGAAAGGAATATTGTGTTTATGGACCACATTGAATTAATCAGCAAAAATGTTAAAATATCTTATTCTCTAATTCTATGAGTAGTTCTTTAGTATATGACCTTTAGAACTGTGGGGACAACAGCTATGTTTTAAAAAAAATTAAAGTTTTTAAATATTAAAAATGAATTCTTTATTTCAATGTCCTAGATGTGAAGACCCCTGGGATCCTACAAAAGCATAGCCCTGAGCAAATGACATGCTTTTCTCATCCTTTTGATCCTCTGACTATTTTTTTTCTTAAATAGCAAAAGTATTTTTAAACATATCAGCCAGTTTCAGTTGTTTAAAAAGTTTAGTTTCTATAATTTATAATTCACTATTTCCAAATTCTGGATAGTTTTTCCAGTTTTTGATATTCCAGATTAGGGTTCCTTATACAATACAGGCTTTCATCAAAAAAGATTTTTCTTTTAATTTAACCTACGTCTTAAACAGTAAAAAATTTAAAACGAAAAAAATAGTCACATACCTTCAACAGAGATGTCTTGAATAGCAAACCTAAGAATAATGGTCCAGATGAGACCAAGTGTCATCTTTGTATTTCCATCAACAATTTCTGGGAGGAAAACATAAACATAGTTAGGACATAGTAAGGATACATAAGAAACATAGTAAGGATAAACATAGTAAGGATAAACATAGTAAGGATACATAAGAATAAACAAGGATAAAGATTATGGTTGAATAAAGATTTTTATTTTGAAATTAGAGGAAACGTTTGAATTTATTTATTCTGAACATTATAAGTTTTTAGATTTGTCAGAAAGCAGTTTTATCTAAGATTACAAACATTGAAAAAAGTAAAGAAAGCTAAAAACTTTAAAAATCTCCTTGAATGATCATTTAAATTTTTAATGCAATAAATTGTAAAAAGATTAAGAACATTATTATACAAATAAAAATTAATTTGTTAACTTTAATACAAATTGAAGATTCGAGTATACTTTTGAGCAACCTCGAATCAAAGATTTGAGCATATTCTACCCCTAACAAAAGGGAAATTTTTTTTTTAAACATGAAAAATAAAACAAAATTTTATTAAACATTTTTATAATTCATCAAACACATATAGAATACATTTTTATGTATAAAGTCTAAGCCATTTTTGGCAAATACATTGTCAATAAATGTTTGTAACATGCTTACTCTTTTTAAGCCTTTGCTTGCACTAAAAAAAAATTATGAAAAAGAAAGAAAGAAAAAAAACTAAAATTAAGCAAAATTATCATCGTTTTAAAAGGTTTGCAGATTATTTTCATTAAATTAAATTGGAAAAGTTAATGAACTGTAACTGTTATCTTCATTAACTTTTCCAATTCAATTTTCAACTATTTTTAGTCCTAACTATAAACGAGAGAAAATTTAAAATATAACATCAAAAAAAAAAAACATTTTTAAGGCAGTGTAACAATCATTTTAGTTGGTATTACACAAACAGCTAACTTTTTAGGATGAGGTCTAAATTCTTAAATATTTACACAAGGGAATTCAGAATTAAGCAATTTTTAATAAAAATTGAATTTTAATATTCATTTTCTCAAACATCAGCACGAGTCTTTCGTTTGGCATGCACCAAGAACCATACTCTGCCTCTAATTTAGACATGTTGCAATTCGGAATTTTTTCCAACCAACTCAATAAAGATAACAATATAGCTCTTGATACAGACTGGACTGTGTAGAGGTCAGAGAACTGGCCTTGCATCAGAAAGGTTCTGGTTTCAAATCCCGGGCAAGTCATGGATGTTTTATTTTCTGAACTATCTGTCCTTACTGTAGGAGCAACGTTGGCCCACCTAGTATGGTGCCCCTGAAAGAGTGGCCAACAAATCTGCCCCGTAAGTGCCTGAATTTAAGAAATGTTAACACAGGTGGGCAATGGAAATACAATTTATATATATATATATCTTGATGAATATTAGCTAAGGGTACTAAATCTCATTCTATATAATAATAATACTGTAATTTCATAGTTACCTTCAGCACCAATAGAGACTAATTTGACACCTTTGCTTGCAATAAAATCTAAAGCCTTATTTACATTTGCTATGTGATGAAACCTCATTTTGCCACGGTCAGGCTTTGGCAGTGTTTCACTGGAAATGACCTCTAGAAGTAACATGAGTTTTAAGCCATTACGAAAATCTTCTTCAATGTTTTCAATTTGGGTGCCGGCTTTTCGTAAGTGGGAATTGCACCAGGCAGTGAAAGTCTGCAATAAGGGATTGATAAGTTTTAATTTATAATGATAAAATTAAAATAACACAGAGAGTTCATTCAAAAATATGTTACAATAAGTTATATTTCAAGGGGTAGTTTCACATAAAATAACATCTCAAATGAAAATTTTTACATTCGAAAGAATATTAAAAATTATCCTTGCAAATATCATGCGTGACTCCAGCTTCACTGATGTTAATAATGGTTGAAATTTTACAAATGTACACATTTTACACACTTTATATACCAATTAAAGACAATAAAAAGAGTAATATTTCTAAATATTATGCCTTGTTTTCAAATCAACAGTGAAGCTTTTTATTTTATTTTACAAGAAATAGGGAAAAAATTTCAATTTAATACTATTTTCATCAAAAATCTGAATTGTTTACAATGCAAAACCAATCTTAAAAAAAATAATGTTTAAATTCAATAAATACTATGCAGTACAAAATGCATAGAAAATTCAGTCATAATTTCTACAAATTTGCATCATTAGTGTACATATGTGTGGAAATTCTCTGACAATGTATGTAATAATGTATATAATCGTAATTATATCTATACTCTGACAATGATTGAGCAAAGAATTAGTTAGCATGATCGGGCAAAAAGACGCAGACAAATTTCGAATGTATTAGAGCAAATTCATAGGTGTTAAAAAAAATTTTTGAAAGTACATTCACAATCAAAAGTTTTCTAGTTGTATTTAAAAGTTTCATTCCATTTGCATCTTTAGAGTATGTATGAGTATATTGTGTGATGATTCCTTGAGTGATTCCTTGATAATGTTAACTTTAACTCAAGCACTTTGGTGATGATTTACCAGAGAATTTAGTAGTCATGATCCTCATAATTATATCATAATAAGTTAATCCATGTGTCTGACTATACCTATTCTGAATAACATTCATTTATGTATTTAAGATCATAACAAAATGTCTATAAAAGATTATACAAACGGAAAAGTTAACTTATACGGTAATACTTAAAATGCTTTTCTTTCATTAATAAAAAAATGGGAAAGAAAAAAAAAAGCATATTATAACTACCCTTTCAATGCAGGTATAATTTAAATTTGCGTCATGACCCTCATAATTGTATCATGATAATAGGTTAATCCATGTGTCTGATTATACCTATTCTAAATAATATTCATTTATATATTTCAGATCATAACAAAATGTGTGTAGCAAATTATACAAGAAGTTAATTTATAAATATTATTATGTTTAAAATGTAACATTATTGTAATGTATTTAATGTATTTGTAAAACTTATTTAATACTTAAAATGCTTTTCTTTCATTAACAAAAAAAGAAGGAAAAAACAGCACATTATAACTAGCCTTTCAATGCATAGGTGTAATTTAAATTTGTGAAAAACTTCCAAATGCTTATAACAATAGGACGAACAATTAAGGTTTTAACGTGTGATTTCCTTTTATAACTTAAACCTTAAAATCTTTTAAATATTTAGACATTAATTATAAACTTTTTTTGTCACAAGCACACTATATTTTATTTTAATTAGTCTTATTAGTAAATTATAAAAATGTATTGACTAATACAAAAAAAAAATAATATTTTATAAACACAATATTTAATAAAGGAATAATTCAACTTATTCACTCTTTCCTAATTAATATGGTTTGGTATATTTATTAATGTTTCATTTTATTTATCATTCCTGATTAATTATTTCATTCACAATAGAAAAAAAATAATTCGTTAAAGAGATTTAAATCTACAGTTCTATTTTCATTCACAATGTTCTTAAAATCTCAGAAAATAAAATAATATGACGTAACGAGCGTAAAAGAAAAAAAATCCCCATCCTCCACCCCACCGTAACCAGAGACTCCCGTTTGCTTTCTTTTTAAGGCTCTAGGTGCACCATGAGGCCGCGCCCACTGGTAAACTACTCTGGCAGTGAAGTGCTTGGCTACACTGAATCCAACCATTCCCCAGTCGGCGAATTCCGTTTGAGAGCGTGACTCAAGCATCGGTGAGAGGCAGCCCCGTTTCTAGAGCGATATAAATATCTTCTATTCTGAAGCTTCGGTATCGTCTGCATCGCTTCAATGTGGTTTGAAAATGCTTGAGTCTTCCACCATATATGGAGGCAGAAGATACTCTTCGAACAGCGGAAAAGAGACATCGCGTTCGAATCTATTAGTTGAGAGAGAGCGAAATATCATTCATGAATTGATGAATACAAAGGTCGTTGGATTTCAAAACTTAAATAATCAGGTCACTTAAGAATAAAATAATTAATGCACATTTTTCTATATTTTTTAAACATAAGTGGTGACTAAAAAATGTAAACACACAGTTTCAAAGCAGCTAATGCTTTTGTGATTTTTATGTATTTGGTGTTAGCACAACAATTGCATAATAAATGTTTAAATTTCCGATTAATGTAAAATAATAGTTTGTTAAAGGACTTAATATATTAACTGTTAATAAAACATTTCAATTTCCATTATGTATGGAGAAAAAAAGATTTTCGTACAACGGAACGAAACAGAACGTCATGAACATAACAAAACGTAAATGAACATAACAAAACGTCATTACGTCATTTTATTAAATACAAAGGTAGTTGATTTTAAAGGTTAAATATTAGGTCATTTAAAAATAAAACAAAAGAAAGTGGTAAATAATAAAAATGCGGCAAATAATAAATAAAAAAATCTACCCAGTTTTAAAGCCTCTGTTCCGTGTCCACTTGATACAGCAATCGCATAATTATAAACATTTAGGTTTTGTACAAATTAATGTGACATATTTGCCCAATAAAAATAGATACATTTCCTATAGTTTAATACACAATTTAAATCTAAATTAGAAATTACATTAAATATATGATTTAACCAATCTCTAAAAATAAGACATGTCAACAAGATTAAAAAAATATTACCCCCTCTCACTAGCTTTTGGGGCGAATATTTCTGTTATTAAGCATTATTCCTTTTGTTAGAAAACAAACACAGATATATCTTAAGGGGGATAAAGCTGCTTAAATGAATTTAATTTGATGTTTTAAGTTAACAATACAAATTAAAATCTGAAAGTAGACCGGAATGGAGTTAACACTGAACATCTATTTTGCGACATTATTTTTTTTATATAAATAAAATACTTCACTTTAAATCCCGTATGTATGATATGAACATTTATTTTGTGATAAATTATTCTTTATTAATATTTCGCTTTGAACCCTACATGTTATGGACATCTATTTTGTGATATTAACAATTCTTTTATAAATATTTTACATTGAATTGCGCATAATTGAAACGTAATCTCCCTTTCATTAATTAAGTACTATTTCGATTCGAATAATTTAAGAAAAGAACATCCATTTTGTGATATTTAATTTTCATTTTATAAAAAGTTTCACTTTGTATCGCATATGATAGGAACATATTGGTGATATTAATTTTCTTCTCATAAATAAATCATTTTCTGTTAAATCATGTAAGGTTTTTTCTTTTTTTTAATTATTATTTTTTATCGCACAAGAAGATTGAAACATATTTTATAAAGGTAAGCTATTCTAAAGGAGTTCCAAGTCAAATAAATTTTTTCACCTTTCATTATTGAAAATATGGAACGAAATTATTCAATGAAAAGAAATAATAAATGCAGGTTTCGAACAACTAAACAATACCAGATATCAAGATCATGTCAGGTAAGTTAAAGGAAGGGAACAGGCAGGTCAAGTCGCTTAGTTCTCGTATTACTATAACAGTCACCTGATTCTTCTCAACAAACCTGTTATGTATTGATAAAATCTATTCAAAAAACGAAACAAAGCAGATCACTTATCGCTGAAAGCGCAAGGTGAAATCATAATCCTTTGTTTCATGGTAAAGAGCTTGTTCTTCGAGTGAGTGGCATACTTAACGGATTAGCCTATGGCTATAATTATTTATTCTACAAAAATAGCTGGGTAGAATTTTTGATAGGATTACATTGTTTGTCATACTACCCATCTTTAAAAAAGATTATGTTAAATTAATGAAGATGAATAGTGATACGAATAACTTATAGTAAGGCAATCAATTGACAAGATCCATGCAAAGCACGCGCATATTTATTATTTATGAGGTTGAGACTATTTTCTTCTAATATTATAATGTAAGGAGAGAAAAAATTGTATTAATTAAATCTAAAACAAACTATAATAAAAGTAACTTTCAACTGTTGCGTTATTTGCATACTAATACTAATAGAATGAATTGCAACCGTAAGTTTAGTTAGTATCAAAGATTCGAACAATAATCTTTTTGAAGAAATTATTCATCACAATTTAAATCTACTACTTCTTTTTCTTGTATTTTGACACGTAAAATTAAATTTCTTAAAATGATGTAAGAAATTGTATATTTTGTTGACTAATACTAGATAAAATAATAAAAATTGATAAATATTTATTGAAAGTTACTTTTTGCATGGAATTATATTCGGATAAATGAATTTTATAATTGTATGTAAAACAAAAATTTAATTAGTTTTACAATTTTTCGAAATGGGGCAAAATAAGCGAAAAGTAAAATTAACGTTAGGGGTCCTAACTTTGGATCGCTCTTCTGACCGAACTACTGGGAGCATATTTCCCAGATTGCGGCTACCCNGAACAGGCAGGTCAAGTCGCTTAGTTCTCGTATTACTATAACAGTCACCTGATTCTTCTCAACAAACCTGTTATGTATTGATAAAATCTATTCAAAAAACGAAACAAAGCAGATCACTTATCGCTGAAAGCGCAAGGTGAAATCATAATCCTTTGTTTCATGGTAAAGAGCTTGTTCTTCGAGTGAGTGGCATACTTAACGGATTAGCCTATGGCTATAATTATTTATTCTGCAAAAATAGCAGGGTAGAATTTTTGATAGGATTACATTGTTTGTCATACTACCATCTTCAAAAAAGATTATGTTAAATTAATGAAGATGAATAGTGATACGAATAACTTATAGTAAGG